CAGGTTAATTGGATATAGCCAGGAAAATGCCAGCAGATGTCAACTGGAGAGATTGTTTAAAAGCAGAGATGACCATGCAAAGCAAAATGAAAGGTATGTGCAAACAAATGTTTCCAGCATCGGAGCTTTGTATCCTCCTTTGGGAGGTGGAAACCACCTCGACCATGCCACCACCCAGCTAAAGCAGATTTTGGCTGAATTTCACAGCAAAATAAAGGCCTTAATCTTTCATTTTCCCGTTTTATAAGAGCCAACGCTTCACTTGCTGCCTCTTTAGACTCCTGACAATAAAACTCTGTATGTTAAGGTGGAAGGAAAGACCAAACCCTGCCTATAAAACCACGTTTCGCTATTGTTCTGTGGATCAGACGGCACAAATTTGGCTTTCTGAGACATAAAACCAAAGATGAAGCACGTTCTAAAGTCAAACCTGCTTTAAGCCACGGCTGTCCGAGATTAATGACGACCCTGCAGAAATGCAAGCTACAAAAGCTGAGATTTCCAGCTTTTTTCTCAACAGCTCAGTCTTTCAAACTCCCACATGAACACAAAATACCTGGCTGGGATTTACTGCTTCAGGTTTCGGGACAGAGACGTGGCAACATGTGGAAGAAATTAAAAGAAGAGCTCATATAAAGCACAATCAGTTACACAGGATTATAAAACAGAAAGGAGGAGGAGGTCACTGTTGCCACGTGCTCTGCTTACCCAAGCAACTGTGTATTTTGGGAGCAGTTTCTAATTTAAATTACACAGTGCCCCTGACAGCAATGCAGATTAAGGTGTGCAATGCTTTCCCTAACACAGCTGTGCAGCACATCACATTTTTCCTTCAAGCCTACACTGGAGAGTCCCAAATCTACCTCTTGCAACACCCCAGATTCTGGTTTTAAAGCCCTAAGGCTCAGATCTGACCTCAAATCCTCAAACCTGACCTCAAACCCAACCCCAAACCCAACCCCAAACCCTCAAACCCAACCCAACCCCAAACCCTCAAACCCTCAAGCCCAACCTCAAATCCTCAAGCCCAACCTCAAACCCTCAAGCCCAACCTCAAACCCAACCCCAAACCCTCAAACCCTCAAGCCCAACCTCAAACCCTCAAGCCCAACCTCAAACCCTCAAGCCCAACCTCAAACCCTCAAGCCCAACCCCAAACCCTCAAGCCCAACCCCAAACCCTCAAGCCCAACCCCAAACCCTCAAGCCTGAAGCTTTCTTCACTGGAAGAACAAAAATAATCCAGATTTTCATTGCTTTTTTTACATTCAGCCCTAACCCAAACAAATGCCACAGGGGTGCAAAGGACCTGATATTCTCACATTTCTGTTCTGGTGCTTTGCCAGTTCTCTCAGTCTTCCCCATTACAGGATTTGGATGATCCGAATTTACACAATTCTCACCAAAAAAGCAGCTTTTCTGACAGGAAACTCCTCATCTTTGGCAAACCACATGAGAAAATCCCTTCAGGGTTGACCTGCAGCACCGTCCAGTGACTTGTATTTTGGTTTTCCTGTCCCTACTCACCACATCCAGGATCTCTGTTTAGGATGGGGGGCTCATTTCCCCACAGTTTTACCTTATGAAAGTCCAAACTAAAAAAGTCTTCAATGGGCAAGTCCAAATATGTTATTTTAGATCTGAAGTGAGCCAATTCAGGAAAATCTTCCCTAAGCTGCTGGCTGAAATACTGATGCTGAAGTAAAAGAGCAGCATTAGAAAAACTTCCAAATATTGCCATATTTGGGTTTGGGTTCAATATTACTAAAATATCCCAACTTCCCATTGGTTCCCATGCTGTATTCAGGGCCACTGAATTGAACCAAAGCAAATTTAACCCTTTCCCCACCATCCTTTCTATCAAATTTGCCCTGCTCTTCCATCACTCCCATCCAAATTTCCAGTGTGGTCCTGAGTATCTTGGATCGCTCACAGAAGTTGCTTTTTGTAGTCTCAAATGAGACCATCACGGGTAAAGAGATCAGCCTAACTCTTCACATCCACCCCCAATTTATGGCTCCTTTCTTGTGCTAAAGACAAATACGAAATATTCCCCTTCTAAAAGCCTCAATACCCTATTTTTGTACTGATCTAAATGGAAACTGAGGGGGTTTAATACCCCAAGAGGGAGTTATCAATAGAGATTAAGGGTGGATACCCCCAAAATGTTGCATGTATGTAGTAGTCCCACTGCAGAGATAAATACAGACACATGATCTATGTTTTTTGAGTATTTTTCCACTCACAAAACCAGTCCACTTCTTAGCTTTAAGCTCTCGGCTTCCTCTTGAAAAATTAAAGACTTTTAACGGCGCTGCCTGCGCAAAAAAACACCTCCAGAAAGGCTGCGGCTGAACATGGGATGGTCCAGATTTAAGAGCTAATAAAGAAGCTGAATTCCCCAAAATGCAGCGGATGGAAAACACCATTTTTTTGCACATACCCTAAACTGAAAAGCAAACCGGGAAAGAGAAGGTGGCAGCTCAGCGTACCCCAAAAAGAGACACACACACAAACGTAACCCTGCTGGCAGCTTCAGTGCTTCGCTACCCAGCGAGGTTATTTTAGCAGTGACTGGGAATTTGTTAAAGAAGTCTCATGGGAATATCCCACCAGGAGAAAAAGAAACATTTGAGGAGTTTTAACCCAAATCCAGTTAGTTTTGTTTTTTAAAAAAAAAAGCATTGCAGGCTAGCAAGCAGCGTGCACTTCAGTCACAAGGATGCTCTCGATGGGATGGCGGTACACAGCGCTGCACACCTTAATCTTCTCCTCCTAACTGAAAAATTCAGAAGCCACAGGAGTCTATGAAGTGGTCACAGCGGGGTTTTGGGAGATGCTAAAAATGGTTGCGGGCAGCCAGCTGGTGAGAGAGCTCGGGTACTCACTCCGGCCAGCGATTTCTGGATATTCTCCCTGGCTCTGGCAATGTCGCGGAGGATCGTGCTGGCTCCGTTCTCCTGCAAACAGCGCAGAAAGAACCAAGATTTTTTTCTTTTTTTTTTTAATTTTTTTTTTCTTTACAAAAAATTAGGAAACATGGGAAAAATTGCTCAGGGAAATTAAAAAAAAATATATATATATAAAATATAGGGGGTAAGAATAGAGGGAGGGGGGTTCCTTCCAATGATTCAGCAAGGATTGCAAAATTAGCTGATAGGTTTGGATCTAAATCAAGCGGCACCGACTGCAGTCCCTGGGCACATCAGGCCACGTGTCCTAAAGGATCATGCAGTCAAAACCTCTCCAAATTCTCTGTTATTACCCCAAAATGGTTTGAACGGCCGCAAACCCAGCAGAGGGTTGGAGTCACTTCCCTACTCCTTATAGATTTATCCTTCAGCAGCTCTTTTACATAATATTATCTGTCAATATATGCAGGCAGTGACAGGCCTGACTGAAATCTTTTATTCAGAGAGGTACAACCCAGGGTACGTAAGTTGTTTTATCGCCCCTCGTCTTCCTGCCTTAGCCTGAATTTGGAAGATTCCCTTCCTAGGGCCCAAATTCCCTTTTCCATGATCCATTCACTCCTTGCCTGTCCCAGACTGCAACCCCACAAGCAAGATTTGAGACTTGAAACCCCCAAGCCCAAAACCCTGTGGCAAATGGACCACAAAAGAGCACCAGCCTGGACACCGTTCAGGTGGAAATCACTTCCAGGCTGCAGGAAAAGTTTTAAGGAGAATGGATTTTTTCTCCTTAGCAGCCACGTGGCTCATGAATCGCTACAAAAACTTCCCCAAAGCCTTCACACCACCACTCACGGGTAGAATTTCTTCACTGAAAGCTCTTTACATGGCATAAAACAGCCTCTAAATGTTCTTCTAAGACCACTGCGCAGCTTTGCTCTTTATCATCTACTTCAAGCCCTTATCTATAGTTTCTAATGTTTATGCAGGTGTGTTTTATGCCACCACCACACTAGCACGGGCAAGCAGGAACGGACAAACTGTGCCTAAAAAGCTATTATTTAAGCAAAAAGCTTCCCCTTAAACACTTGCAAGACAGCCATTTAAAACACTAAGCAGCTTTCTCCATAACCAACCAAATGCATAAGCAGTTAACAGCTCTTTACACAGCAGGAAGAGGTTACAGACCTTTAAAAAGTAATAATTTGGGGCTAATGTTTAAATTACTTCAGCTCCAGTGTGCTGCAACAGCACCATGCTTTCCCCTCCAACTCACCAGTACCGTGATGCAGTCTTCTGCAGGAGCACACTGAATATTTCGTAATAAATAAAGAGAGGAACGTAATTCCTGGTCTCTTTGGAGCCATGGTGCAGTTCTTATATATAATGTATATATATATATACACATTATATATATACACACACAGTATATCCCTTGCCAAGGGAAGCTTAGTGGCTCCAAAACCACACCAAACCAGCATCTTCCCTGCCTGAACTGGGAAAGGTCAATTTTTGGCTCAGCCCAGTAAAAACTGCAGGTTTCAGGGCTTGCAGCTCAAACTGGGCCTCTCATTCTATCAAGAGCGCATTTGTGCCCTGCCAGAGCAGCTCAAAAAAGATTAAAAAGTGACTGCTGCAACCCATAACTGGTTCACCCTGTTGGTACAAGGGTGTCCTGTCTCCCAGTATACTGGTTATACTGGAGAAATCCTTCATAGGCCATAGAAGATGGTCCTTTAAAAGATAAAAAGGTTCCTAACTGGGGCTGTAGGCTTGGAAAGCTCCAGAGAAAACTCTCAACACTTGGAAAAAGCAGCACCCAGAGTGGAAATACTACAAAAGCACATGTCCAGGTGGATCGTGTCCTTTCTCCTGCTCTGTATAAGCTCTTAAAACTCCAAAACTCTGCTAAAAATCCCATCCGAGAACAAGCGTTACCTGCTGGTGCGAAGAGCTGCTCACCGGCCCGTTCATCTGCTCGTAGTATTTCCTCTCGGCCTCATCGTACTTGAATTTGTCAAACCAGATCTTCTCGTGCATGAAGTAGTCGACTGCCATTTTTCTGCAGAAAGGGAAGGAAGAAAACAAAACAACACAAGAAAAAAAATCCAAAGTGAGTCCCTAAAATTATTTCAGGTGAGCAGCTTGCAATGAGCTTGTCGGAAAAGTGTTTTATACCCCTACAGAACTGCGTCTGCTCACTGGTTTTCCCCTCCAGTGGAAAGCTTTAAGTAAACAGGATCCTATTAAGAAAGCAGGGCAGCCTAATCACCCACCCATCTGCTTGGCCTGACCCAAATTTTGTGACCGGACACTGCGGTGGGGACAAGAAATCACCTGATTTGTACCTTCTTCCATTAAAAAAAACCACTTTCAGAGCAGGGTTTTCAAAAGACATGGGAAGCTGCTGCTAAAATATTGTGCATGAGGATCAAAAAGGGAAAAATAAGCTTCATTTTTAAGATGCCCAGCCTCACAGGGAAGGATACACAACTCCTGACAGCACAGCTCACAAATTTAAATGCATTTCAGTCTTCCCTGAACACGCTGGTTGGACTTGATGATCTCAAAGGACTTTTCCAACCAAAACCATTTTATGATTCTACGATTCAACTGCATCGACAGCAACTCTTGGCTGTCTTAGGTCAATACACATCTCTACCTGCTCGTGCCATGCTTCACCACCAAATCCTCCTGTAAGGAACAGCCCCAAAGTGACCAAAAGCCAGGTACACACACAATTTACAATGGTAAATGCTTCTGGAAGCTGCTGCAGCTGTTTAAAAATTAAAATCGCTGGCAATGCAACACGGGTTGGACTTGATCTTGGAGCTTTCCTCCAACCTTAATGATTCTGTGACTTGCAAGGGACAGACACCTGGAAAACCAGCAGAAAACACTGCAATACTGCTGTGAAATGGTTTAATTTCTTTTTCTTGAATGCAACAGCTTCCAAAAGCTCAGTTCTTAACTTGAAGACAAATGATGGAGCCTTTGCAACAGGAAAAGATGAAGATGAGTCCTTATTTCAAGCCAAGGGGCAGCCACCAGAGCCAGCATCAGGTTGAGGAGGTGGTGAGAGCAGGGCTAGATGAAAATGAAGCCACACCATGACCAGGTTCTACCACACAACACAGAGCAAACTCTTTGCAAACCTTTTCCTCATTGGCTCAAAACCTCACAAGCTCCCCAGTAAAACATTCCCAGAAGATAAATCTTTTGGAAATCAAGCTTGCTTATCTACCCATTCAGAAGAGACCCGAGGTCACCACACCATACAGGTCCTCTACACTGAAGCCATTCCCACCACTCAACCCTCCAAGGCCCTGCCCAACAAGGATCATTAACAGGGAACCCCAGTCACCAACTTCTGCAATGTATTTTGCAATGACACAAATGACCAAATACTCTGGTTCTGTCCAGCTAAAGGGAAAATGATCCCAAATAGGACAGGGAAAATGATCCCAAATAGGACAGGATGCTCTAGCTCTTGTCTGTAACCCCCTGTATTATTCAACAGAAAGATCTTAAAGCTTTCCAACAAATCCTAAGAAACTTGAGGATCAAAAGCATCAGAAATAAAGATTGATGCTCCAAGAGCCCTTTTTACCCCTAGGAAAATTTCACTGCAAAATAATATCTAAGCACTGGCCCTGGGACAGGCTCCCTGGGCGTTAAAATCCTCCATGCAACGGACTTCAGGGTTCAGAAAGTCACAGAGAAAACCACATTTTAAACACAGAAAGCACGGTACTGTACTGCACCTCATCCAGAACTTTAAAAAACAACTAAATGTTTGTCTGTAAACAGATTTATAATTACTTTTACAGCTAATAGGAATATGGGAAGAGGCATGGCCCTGTGTAAAGAGGAGGTCAAACCTTAGCTCACCCCCCAGCCCTGATTTAACGCATTTAACCTCCAGCACCACACAAATACCACCTTTAACCACCAGCATCCATCAGGAGAAGGGGGTTCCTTGAAGGAGTTTCACCCCCTAAGCCCAAAACCAGGCTCCCCAGCTCAGGAGCGCCACTTCCCGACACCCCACGCACACTCAGGTCCTGCAGACGCAGAGGACGCCCCATCTTCTACACATCCAAATTGTCTCAAACTCAATCCTGACCCAGCAGTTTTGGGTGAGTTTAACCCCAGAATAAACTTCTCCTACTTCATTTCTGGTGCAGGTACTGCTTGGGATGGTTTTACTACAGCAGATTCCTGCGTCCTCACGCTCTCTTCCGCTCCCGGCATCTTCAGAGCCTGGGCTGCGTAGTATCGTGACTCGGCGCTGTCGTACGTCGGCTTTTGAAGCCACACGGTTTCGCTGTCCTCATGCAGGAAAAAGAAGGTAGGTGGAGGTTGCTCGGCATCGCCGGGAAGCGGAGAGTTGGTGGCCACCTCTGCGTGTTTGCTGCCCGTCTGCTTCCCAACATCGGGGTTCTTCTCGTTTTCAGGATGGTTCTTCAGTGCTTCGGGGACTTTGCCCGACGGGTGCCCATCAAACATGTTCTCGTAGAAGCTCTTCTCGGCATCGTCGTAGAGAGGTTTCTCTAACCACACCTCGGACATGAGGTCCCGAACGCTGGAAATTTGCGGCTTCCCATTTACCGTCTGCTGTATGGAGCCGGGCAAAGGGGTTACCAAGGATGAAGCGGAATCAGCAACGGCGCCTGGAGCCAAGTTTGGCGTAGCTGGAGTAGGCAGGGCTGTAACGTAGCCCTCGTCTGGCGTCCTCAGCCCAACGTTGCCGGCGTTTGACCGCTCAGACGGGATGGTTAGGACATTTGGAGGAATAAAAGACTGAGATTTTTCAATAAACGCCTCCTCGGCCTTATCAAAGTCAAGCTTGTTGAGCCAGACACCCTCAACAACGTGGTGACACGCAGAGAGATGACCGTGGGAGCAGGACAGCGGCGAAAGCATCCTTGGTTTAGGAGCATCTTGGGCAGCTTTTGACCTGGCTGCTACAGGAGACTGCTCAGCACTTGGGGCAGCCTCAGGTGCCTCCTGGTACTGAAAATCCATCATTTTGGTCCTGTACGCCTCCTCAGCGCGGTCGTAGAGCGGTTTGTCAAACCACACATGGTCAGCTAACAAACCAGCCAGAACAGAGTCTAACTTGGAGGCCGCGTTTTTGGGTTTCGGCGAACGCTTCCGTTTCCTTTGCTTCTTCCCATTCCTCGCTTTCTTCAAATCTCCCTTAAATTCGCTTTCAGCGGAGTCGTCGTTGCAGACCCCGTTGACAGCCTCTACCTCCTGGCGTTCCTCCGGGGTCGCAGCAGCTTCTTTTTCGTGATGCATCTTCTCTCCTTCATCGTATTTGTGCTTTTCTACCCAAACTTTTTCTACCGGGCACGAAGACTTCCTTGTCCTCATCTTCCAAAAAGCGGCAGCGTTAAAAGACAAGCACAGTAATGTAGTTGCAGCAAAAACTAAAGCAAGCAGGGGCATGCATCAGACTCGAGTAGTTTTTTTAGGGAATGCAAGAGTGACAAAAGCTACCGTGCCATTATAATTCGTTTAGTTTGATTTCCCCCCCCCCTTTATTATAAATTTTAATTCAAAGAAATTTCACTTTTGAAGAGAACTGGCAGGATTTAAAAAAAAAAAAAGAGGATGAGGGGTTTATTTTGGTAAAATCTCTTGTAACGTAGAAGGTATTTTCCAATTTAATAAACCAGCCCTTCGTTACTTGTTAGGTATTTTTAACTAAGCACTTATTTGGGAAAACAAGATAAAATAAAGAAAGGCTGAGTGCATTTGAGCGTATTTAGAGGTCATTCCTTACACTTCATTTGTGTTTTACTGAGAGAAAGCCAGCAGAGGGAGCTGACTGAAAAACCACGACTTCCTTTTAGTCTTAAAACCCCCGCCACTGGCAAACTAAAATTAACCAAAAGCTGCAGATCTCATTATTAATTTAGCTTACCAAAAAAAGAAAAGGGTATTTAAATGAAAAATACTGCCTCTGCTTTGTGTTTTCCTGCCTTTTGATTAGGAAAAAAAAATTCAAGCGGCATTAAGTACGTGTAGATTGGAACCGTTACTACAAGCCAACACTTTTTGCCTTTTCAAACTTTTAAATTTAAATTTGTACGGTTGAAATTATTAAAGCAACGCAACGCTACGTTTCCATTATAAAAATTACTAGGAGAAGCAATACATAGAGCTTTCCTTTTCTTACTGGAGTTGTGAAACGGCTCCACCGCCAGCTGCTGAAAATTCAGTGAAACAGCTAAAAACCTTTCAAAATATCAAACTGGAACTTAGTTTGAAGACTTTGCTTTACTTTATACCCTCCTATTGTATTTTACACCAGTTACGGAACAGTAAAATACTTCTTACTACAGACAACTAGAAGCAAAACCAGTACTTTCAATAAATATTCATCTATTTATCAATATTAAAAATGCCCCAGCTGGAAGTTCACGCATTGCAAGGTGGGAGCAAGTTACAAGCAGTGACTTGGGTATTTTGAGGTACAAGGATATATTCTAGGTGTAAAAGAAATAAAACTCATTGAGGCTGCCTCATACTCAGCTGCTGGACAATTAATTGCAGATATTTTGATATTAAATAGCTAACAGCATCTTCCTTAAAATAATCTTTACATGTCAATTTAATGGGGACTGATGTCACTTTAGACTGGGATTCCTGGACCCCACCATAGACTGGGATCCTTGGACCCCAATTTAAACCAGGATCCTTGAACCCCAATTTAGACTAGGATCCTTGGACCACAATTTAGACTGGGATTCCTGGACCCCACTTTAGACCGGGATTCCTGGACCTCACTTTAGACCGGGATTCCTGGACCCCAATTTAGACCGGGATTCCTGGACCCCAATTTAGACTGGGATTCCTGGACCCCAATTTAGACCGGGATCCTTGGACCACAATTTAGACTGGGATTCCTGGACCCCACTTTAGACCGGGATCCTTGAACCCCACTTTAGACCGGGATTTCTGGACCCCACTTTAGACTGGGATCCTTGAACCCCAATTTAGACTGGGATTCCTGAACCCCAATTTAGACCGGGATTCCTGGATCCCACTTCAGACTGCGAT